ATTAGTTACTTCCAGATAAAAGTATAGGCTTTTCTCCTGTGAAAAATCCATAATCAAACCCTTAAAGACACATGTGTATACACTTCTTAAAATATTCTGGCTTTTGTGTAATGGCAAAATAATGCTATTATTCTACCATCTTCACATACATATTTTTTTCTCTTGGTGATAATGACCCTGGGTTTTTTTTATTATTATTTATTATTTTAAAAAATTTGGGGTGAGGGTTTGGGGGGGTTAATTAGTTTTATTTATTTTTTTTAGAGGAGGTACTGGGAATTGAACCCAGGACTTCATGCATGCTAAGCATGCACTCTACCACTTGAGCTGTACCCTCTCCCAACCCTGGTTTTACTCATTGCATCTATACATCTATCCATTCCTCTCTGGTCCCCACCTGACCAACCATACACTTCTGCAAGATGATAGGGCTGTTTACAATAAAGACTCAAGTCTACACATGAAAAGCCATTTTCTTCTATATGTCAGCTTTTCTGGCCAATGACTCATCTCCTCCTGTCATCTTTCTACCAACTGAGCAGCCTAACCCACAAAAACATGTGTACACACATCTGCATGTTCATAAATACCTATATGTAACTAAATCCAAGTGTATATGTTATTTTCAAACTCATGAATATTCCTACATCATTCATTAAGTCAGAGTGAGGCTGGAGGATGGGAGTCAGCCTGCCTTGGGCTTCTAGTGTTAACTCAGCCAGGAGCTAGCCAACACTAGTCTCCAGGCCTCCCTCCCTTCTTCATAAAATGCAGATGGAGGACTCACCTCTTACTTACTTCCAGTTCTAAAACATTTTGGTTATATGAGAAATGTAAATGTGGACAAATACTCAGATTAAAGAGAAACTTCCAGCTAATGAAGCAAAAAGATGATTAACAGAAATGGCCGGGATAATATGCAGTGACAGGTAGTTAAAAAATAACACAGAGGATGCTAAATTTTGAACAGGTGAAACTGCTTAATTATGACTTCAAAGGTTGGCCCTCTATAGTCTGTTAATGAAATACCAAGGAAGCAAACAACTGAAATGTCAGAACTGCCAGTTCTGAGCAAAAACAGCACCTCAGGTCACCTTTCCTCTGACTACGCAAAGTGTAGCCTATCAAAAACACATGAAAACACAAGTAATATAAATTATTATTATAAAACCATTTTCATGCTACAATCCAGAAAAAAATACCTAACAGCACTACCATTTTGATATATTTCTTTCTTTTTATATGTGCATAATAATTTTTTATAAAACTGTATTACATTTATGCATTTTGATCTGAAGCCTATTTTTTAAGGCAGTATATTCAGTCATGTGGATATATCGAAGTTTAACTGAGCTCTCACTTTTGGACACTAACGCTGTTTCAAGTTTTCACATGTTATTAAAAATGTTGTAACAAACATACATAAAACCTGGTACACCTCTGATTATTCCTCAGGACACCCTCAAGAAGCAGACTGAGTCACTGGATATAAATATTCTCAAGGCCACCCTGACACACGCTGTTAGAATGCCCTTCAAAATAGTGGCACCAGTTTTCTAAAGGATTTAAAGATAAATTGCACAAATCATCTGCTCCTATCTTTTACTATCAGACAGATGGGGTTTGAATAAGAGATTAAGTTTCTTAGAAAACAGCAGAATTAGACAAATAAATCACATAGTTAAATCAGTTGATAATTAGGTATGATTTAACAAATAATGTGGGCTTTATTTTTTGGGTTCCTGACATTACTGAGGTTTTATCACACTGATAATTAAAGTCAGTATTCTGATTATAAATCATTAATATCTAGAATCCTGGTTTCAGTTGCCTCTGAATCTAGGATACAGTCCCTAACAGCCACAACAGTTAACCGCTTATCTATCAATAACACCTGGGGACAGAAACTCTCTTAAGTGAGACCTGGAAAATCTAATTAAGAAATGTTTCAAACTAAAAGCACAAATATTGGTTAAGTTATTTTAAACGCTACTGTGACACTAAAAAAGGCAAACAAACAAACAAAAACAGGTCAAGTAAAAGGGAGCAAGGGGAGAAAAAGCAAAAAATTCTAAAATAAGAGATAAAAGGAGAAAGATCAACATAAAAGTAGAAACACTAAGGCATATTCCATAAATTAGAAAAACCTAATGTAATGGGAACACTAACAGAGGTAAAGAGAAGTGGGGTCAGTGGGAGGATGCAGAAACAAAGAACAAAGATGAGGGAGTAAGTAGGTAGAAAAAGTGAATAAATGGTCAAATATCATTTGATGTTACAATACAGTGTTAGCTAACTTCTTCTACACAATTATTCAGCCACCTCAACTAAAGAGGACACAGCTGTGAACTAGAAAGCAAAGGAAAAAAGAATTCTCACAATAGCCAAAACTAACAATCATACTATGAAAGTAAGTGCTTCTCTCATAATATATGAGTAATTACTTCTGTCCAAACTTTAGTAGAATACTAAGAAGGTTGGTTATATTTTCTCTGTCAGTAGCATATTAAAAATAAATTAGAAGCAAAGGGAGATTTCTAGAGATTAGTACATAGATAATACCACCACATTTACCAGCAATAAAGGACACGGACACACACACCACCACCATCAACAAAAAGTTCAACAGCTGAAACAGCACAGCAGTCTGGAAATATGAGAAGGAGGAAAAACCAGGGCCTCACAATCAGCCCTAAATGCATCAGAGAACATCCCTAAAGGATAAAAAAGTTTAAATTATGGTCAGAGGCACAGACCACATTTAAAGAGGTTTCCACCCTGGATGATTAAAATTAAAAAGTGGAGACAGGCTTCAATACCTGAAATTTTTACTTACGTTAAGCATTCTCCAGCCAAGATAATTACGGTACAATAAAAATACTGTAACAGAGCTACAGATGGTAAAGGAACCATAATTTTCAATATGAAGAAGATAAAGAAACCAGATTTTAAATCCATCAGAATAACATAAACATGGTAATTAGCGACCTAGTGTGGCTTGTATTTCATTAATCCATACACGATGTGCAATGATCTGGTGTTGAGAACACAATGATGTGTCACATTTGCTGAGGCATGTGTACTTTTGTGCCACTGAATACTGGTCACTTGTGTTCCTCTAAGAAGTTCAAAAGCCACATTAAAAAATAACAACAAAAAGAAACACCTGCTATCACTTGGATCCCTTCAATACTTCACATAGAACCAGTATTTAAACTTTTTCACTAATAGTTACAACAGAGAATTACAGTAATTTTAGTTCTCAATCAATAATTAATATTTGGCAAAATTTTGGCACTTACTATGTGCCAGATACCAGTTTTATGTAAATTTAGCAAATTTAATCATGGAAACTTATGAAGCACAGAACTCATCTAGCATATGCAGTTACACAATCAATTTTCTATTTTCAACCAGTTTCGCCAGTATTAATAAAAATGGCAATGCATATTTCTTTATCTGGGATCATCATTGTTAAAAAAAAAACAACACAATCCCAATTTTCTTTTTCTTTGTGTTTGAATGAAATATAATCATCTGTATTACATTATCTTCCTCAGAAAAATACCATGCTAGGATTAAGAAAATATTAAGAAATTGCAGTCCAAAAGAATAATATTTTGAGATACCATGTGAAAAAAGCTCAGAATAGTATTCACATAAAACTGTAATTTTTTTCTACCAAAAATTGGTTTTACGTTGCAGCTGATTTTAAATGACATACCCAGACGACACTGACCAAATATTATCTAAGACCTTTCTTCAGATATCTAAATCCATATCTAGTGAGCCATCTAGCTTTCCAACTTTAAGTAAAAGTACAGAAAACAAACACACCTATGAAGCAATCTTGCCTAAAAACTTGTACTTGAATCTGATGAAGCCTCTATATCTTTCAATTAAAACAAAAAATGTAGGGCACAGAGGAACATCACGAGGATGCAATCATTGAAATCCAGTGCATGAGAAACACTACAGGACAGATGACCCAGTTTCTTCAACAATCAACTCACAGGGTATCTCAATACCTCATTAAAGCCCACAGCTTCACTCTCACATCCCTGAGATCTGCCACAGTTTCTCGCTCCATGGCTACTTGTAAAGTATGGCACTTTGATCACAGCTGTGCCTCCCACTACAGGACAAGCATAGTGGAGTACAACACAGTAGCTTAGAACAGGGCTCTGAAGCTACAACCTGAGTTGAAATTCCAGCTTTCCCCCCTCAGTTAACTCACCCATAAAACAGAGAAAATACCACCTGCCACTCAAAGAAATTTTAAGGATCAGTGAGAAAATAAATGTAAAGCACCTAGCACAATGCTTTGTATAGCGTAGGCAGGGATGGACTATCTAGTGACTGAATAAATGAAAATGATAAGCAGGAAACCTAAATAATTATGAATTTTATCTCCTTTGATTTCATCTAACCACCCTCTAATACTATCTACTGAACAGTAAAATCCCAAAATGGCCAACAGGAAGAAAAACAATTAAGGAAAGATAACTGAATAAATAGGCTGTCAATTTCTAAATAATTACACTTGACCTTAAGGTACTAAAAAAACAGTTTAATCACAAGAAATACCACCTGATAAAGCATGGCGTGATTAAGAAAAGGGCTAAACTTGACCAAGCCCAGTGAAAGTAATGACATTTATTTTCCAACTAAAAGTGCTCAACATAATCATCTTCAAGCAAAATTTTTAATAATGTGGGAAGATCTTTTAATTGTCAACATTATATTCTGAATCTTCTCAGAGTTTTCTTGCTTTAAACTAAAAAAAGAAACACTAACAAATCAATTCAACCAACATTTCCCTCTGAACAGTAGGTGGCATAATTCACATACTCTAAGCCAGTTGCTGCAAAGTGAGTGATGTGGTAATAAAAAAGCTAATTCAACAGACCATTATCCAAAATTCTGAAAACATTCATTTTAAAGTGTTTACAAGTCCTAATTTGAAAATAAAATCTTTCAAATAATACAAAAATACTTACATCTCAATTTGTCCAGCATTTTTCCACCACACATGGTTGCTAACATAGCTTTAACTGAAAATACCGTCAACTTGCCTCGGCCCTCACTGCAAAATAAATTATATTAGAAATAATTGCTATCTGGAACCACAAAAGCAATTAAATGTATCACTAAATATCAAGCAACCAGTATACTGATTCCTACCCTTATGTTACAATGTTACCACATTTAGAAACCTTGGATTTTTTTTTTCTTTATAGAATTAAAGCTTCACCTATGCTATGTGAACAGTGTTTAAACTAACCTGTTTCATTTGGAAAGGAGCTTAGAAACACCCTGTAAAGCAACCTCTATTGGCTTTGTAGGCAAAGTCCAAATGGATAAACCTGAAATAAACTTCCTACCAACTTGGTCCATTAAATCCACAGCTGAGGTGTTTATATATTCAAATCTGAGGCACCATCTGGTTTGAATAATAGTTCAGAAATGTGTCCTTCCATCAGGATAGCATCATAACAGCTTACTGTTATGTATTAAAGCGACAGGATGCATACTGCTATAAAGTTTTATAGTACATTCATCTTTGCTTTTACTGTAACAACTTTTATGTCACCATGTGTTGATTCTAAGAAGCTCGTCTGTCCCATCTGAGACATCAGTGTCAGATCTTATACCACAACTGTGAGAAAAGTGAAGGGAAAGGGACAGTAATATTAATTCTTCTTCAGGAACTAGAAAGATGAAACGTAGAACATAAATGAACTACCCACATTATTGCTGTACACCACCTGCAGAGCCAAGGCAACACGAGCAAGGCCCCCCCACCCCATCCTCTGCACCATGGCCACTGCTCCAGCCATTCAACTACGCCCTGGTCTCAGAGAAGATGAAAACGTCACTGGCTGGTTTTTAAAGTCATATGTGTAAATTAACAATGGGCTTGTGTTAATTTTAGAAAGCTTGTCCTTAAAAAGTTTCATAGTAACTTAGAGTAAAATATCTTTGCAATAATGAGAACTATATCATCTTGGTTTTGAAAAGCAAATGTCATCCTATTTATATTTACCAATGGTCCTAATAAAGTGTCTCCTATTTTCCAAACCTTTTGGATATAATAAGATCACAAGTGAAAAAGGCAAATGGTCAATAAGCCAGAAAATTCTCAGTGAAAATGTTGCCAGGAGATACCAATGTCTGTAACAGTCTAATTTTTAACGATCACATCTCATTAAGTTTATTCATGAAACAGGAATCCCTAAAACTAGCTCAAATTAGAATGGGGTTTTTTAAATATATAGTTTTTCAGAAATACAGATTCTGCTCCATGTCTTATGTAGTACCTGGCAATATGGCACCTAGAAATGGTAAGGAATATTCCTACGCTAAATATTCATTGCATTATATGAGCAACATGAGTGGCTACAAAGAGCCTCAACTACGTTCAAAATAATGGGTTTCTAAGACTGACAGAGAACTTTTACAGTGGGTATTTCTGTTCGGTCACCAACCACCCAAATGCTGAGTCTACATTTAAGCACACCCTACCTTATGCGACAAGTACACTTTCCACTATCAAAGTAGGAAGAAAGGGAAAAAAAAAGATATTTGCTTTCTCATCTTTCTTTGAAACTATGACAGTGGCACATAACACAAGCTCCACCAATAAGATGCACCCACTCTAGCCTACAAATAGAAAACAATTAACTGGTAGAAGCAAGAACTCCAAAGAATCCACCTGGCAAGGATGGAACAGGAGCAGTTACATCCAGTGTCCTGAGAGCAGGGATTCTTGCAGCAGCGCCCACCGCCCAGCGTCAGTGGTGTCTGGGGCACAAGCAGCAGAATCTATGCTCAGCTTGGTAGAAGAGGTGCACCCCAAGACCAGTTTTGGGGTATGATTTTGAGCTCTGTTCTTGGTGGTGTGGTCTTCAAGCCTACTTTCCCAAGGTTCTCAGAGAGCCAAGGGGTTGCCTTTTAATAAATTAGCCAGAGATGGATCCTATTGCTTACACCTAAGAACTCTGATGGACGCAGCTTCCATCCTGAAGCAAAGTGGCCCAGAAAAATGAAGCAACAGGAAAAAACATTCCAGAAGCCCTGAGCAAGGGCCAGTAAGCCTGACGACCAGTAGAGCAAGAACGAAGAACATGTGCCCGCCAACAGAAGAGTTAGGCCTTGCTGCACAGCTAACAACATTTTTTAAGGTAAACTTCCTCAAGACATTTTTTGCAAACACAGACTTTCATGATGCAAGAATGCCAATGAAATTCCACTGGGGAAAGTAAAAATTAATGTTAGAAGAGATTTCCATAGAAATCAGGATACTGATTGCCTCTGGGGGAAGAGAGAGAAGTTGTAAGACAGCAAGGACAACACGAGGGGCATCTGGGGTGCTGACAGCACTCTATTTCTTGGCCTCTGTGTATTTACATGGGTATTTGCTTGATAATAATTCATTAAACTGTACTTTGTTCTAGCTATTTTTCTGTAGGTATTTTCTTTTCTGAATAAAAACTGTTTTAAAAAATGAATCCTGAGAAAGTGAGGGTTATTCGACAAAGCTCCTGGTTTAAGGGGGAGAATGATGACAGGGAAAAATACATGTTAAAAAACATTTAAGATAAACAAACTGCAATGCATAAAATGTTCCACAATAAAATTTCTGTAATAAAATGCATAAAAAGAATAAAAACATTAAAAATCTCAAGACCCAGGCCCCATCTTTAGATGTTTATTAATAGAAGACTGGCTATCATAATAAAGAATGAAAAACATAAAAGATAAAGAATTATATCCAAGTATCCAAGACAGATTACTAGGTTCAAAAAAAAAAAAGCAAAGCATGGGGTAAAATAGAATGCAATCTAGCAATTATGCTAAAAAGGAGAGAGTAAAAATAATATTCTCATATATCTGTATTTTATAAACTGTCTGAAAGGATACTGACAAAATAACATTGGTTGCATCCAGGGTGGAAAGCAGGCAGCCAAAGGAAAGCAACGGAAGGGTGGGCACTTTCCATTTTATTCATATTAAGCGTTTATACTAGAAGGGAAGAAGGGAAGGTTCTCAAGCCAATAATCTAAGCTTCTAACTGAAGGCACTTCGAAAAAGGACAGCAAATTAAACCCAAAACAAGCAAAAGGGGAAAAAAATGAGTAAGAGCAGAAATCAATGAAATTGAAAACAGAAAAACAATACAGAAAATTAATGAAACCAAAAGCTGGTTCTTTGAATACACCAGTAATATTGATAAACCTCTAGCCAGACTGACTAAGAAAAAAAGACACAAATTACCAATATCAAGAATGAAAGAAGGGTATCACCACAAGTTCTCTAAACATTACAGAAATAATCAGGAAATGTTCCAAAAACCTTATGTCCATAAATTCAACAACCTGGATGAAATGGACAAACAAACTAAGCCCTGAAAAACACAAACTATGAAAGCTCATTCAAGAGGAAACAGGCAACCTGAAGAGGCCCATGTCCATGATGGAAACTGAATCTGTATTTTTAAGCCTTCCAAAAAAAGAAAGCTCCTCAGAGAACTGTTCTGGAGAATTCTACACACTTAAAAGAAAAAATAATTGCATTTCTACTCTCTTTCAGGGAGTAAAAAAGGAAGGAACACTTCCCAATTCTTTTGTGAGGCCAGCATTATTCTGACACCAAAAACACATAAATACATTACAACAAAAGAAAATAACAAGTCGGTGTCCGTCATGAATAGAGAGACAAAACCTTCAACAAAATGTGAGCAAATCAAATGTAGCAATATATAAAAATGATTTAAAAACCACAACCTAGAGGGGAGGATATAGTTCAAGTGGTAAAGAACATGCTTAGCATGCATGAGGTCCTGGGTTCAATCCCTAGTATCTCCTCTGAAAATAAATACACCTAATTACCTCCACCCCTCACCAAAATTAAACAATACAATAAAATTTTTTAAAAAATCACAACCCAGAGGGCTTTATCCCAGTAACACTAGTTTGACACTGAAAACCAATCAATACAATTACCATATTAACAGACCCCCAAAAAAGCCACGTGATTATCTGAATAGATGCAGGTGACAAAATTCAACATCTACTTTTGATACTCTCAGAAAACCAGGAAAAGAAAGGAACTTCCTCAGTTTGATAATGAACATCTTTAAAAAAAACAAAAACAAAAAACAGCTAACATCATACTTAATGATGAAAGGCTAAGCGCTTTTCCTCTCAGATCAAGAACAAGTCAAGGATGATTGCTCTCACCACTAGAACTCAGTATCACATTGGAGAACCCAGCTGGTGCAATAAAGCAAGAAAAAGAAATAAATGCATACAGATTGAAAATTAAAAGATAAAACTGTGTCTACTCCCGACAATATGATCATCTGTGTAGAAAATCCCAAAGAACCTACTAAAAAAATCTGTAGAACCTACCAAAACACTATAATAGGGACTTTAGCAAGGTTACAGAATACATGGTCACTATACAAAATTCAACTTACTTCTACAAATTAGCAAAAGATAACTGGAAATACCGTAGCTCCCAAAATATGAAAAACATAAAAAAATTTTTAAAAACACATGTTCAAGATTTGCACACTGAAAACTACAAAATACTGATGAAAGAAAAAGAAAATGTAGAGACACACCATATTCATAAAATCAAAGACTCAATATTGTTAAAATGTCAGTTCTTCCTAAACTGAACAAAATCCTGTTGTGATTCAATGCAACCCCCAATTCACAATAGGATATTTCTGTAAAAATCAACAAGATGATTATTTAAATTTCCTTAAAGTTCTAAATCCATACAAATCTCAATAAGGTACAAGATTAAAGATACCATTCATATGCCTAAACATCCCCTCCCGCCCTGCTCTTTTAAAAAGTTCCTCATGTTATTTTAATATGCATCCAGAGCTGAGAACTACCAACACAGAGCTTTGAATGCAACACAAAGACTTCAGCTTTTATTTTGCAGGCAACGATGAATCAAAGAACATAATGAAAGATCAAAGAGAATTAATCATACTGTGTGTAACTCTTTCTGGCTCCAAATGGAATGTTCTTTCTTCAAAGAGACAAAATAGTATCTATTCCTTGCGGC